AGTATAGCATAAAGATTTATACCGTTCAAATCCATGTTTAGAATGAAGAATGCATATGACAAACCCTTCCAGAGATGAAACTCGATCCTGATAAACATATTCTGTTCTGGTATCACATTTCTCTAATGGAACCAATGATATTGCTGCAAAGAATCAGATTTTAAGGTACTAATTGCTGACTTGTGTAATTGTAATGCAATCAGTAAACTGTAATTCTGAGAAGGAAATGTGCAGCAGCTAACACTTAAAGCCTCATTAGCCCAAAATAAGCTGCATCTATCAAGTACAAAATTAAACTTACCAGCACACCAAAGGAGTATTAGAAAACAAAGGCAGTATAATGAAAACTGTTGCTGTGTATACTTAAAGCTTGATGATTAATGATGTTTTTGGATCAAATCACCTTGAAGCTCTGGAAGAACTACACTGAACAGAATTTTAGGGGAAAAAAGCTACATTTGGCAACTTTAATCTTCCCCTCTTCTGCTTTGGGAGCTCTTTTTCTAGTGGTATAGTGATCATGGCCTCTTTGATTTAGCCATAGATCCTGATGATTTTTTTTTTTGGTGTGTTATGCTAGCTAGAAGCTTTCCCAGTTGCAGTGCATCTTACCCTAATTAGATGTTGACACCCCATGTTCACTTTTTCTCAGTTGCACTGGACTGTGGAAATGCAGGACTTGCAGTCTCTGTTCTGCCTGGCCTTTAGTGTAAAAGAGACTAATTTAAAGATGGTATGAAAGTCTCTTGTGTTTGTGGTTTTAAATCAGGTTAAATACTGTGTGTTTGTGGTTTGAAAACTTTAAAATTTAATCGAACTGCTTTCTTATTAAGACAAGGCTTTACTGTGAAGCCATTTATTACAGGAATACATTGGCTGCTGTGTGTAGGAATAAAAACAGCCTAAGTAAAAATGCCTAAACAGTCCTGGGTACCCTGTCTGCGCATTCCTTAGGAAATAAAGTATTCTTTGTTGCTGTTTAATCTGTTTGAAACCTGTGAATGTTCTGTTCCTCTGAACGTTCAGCTTTCCAACTTCGGGTAGCTAATTATATTGTTCTTTTCCAAATAGAACAAAGTCAATTCATTCTTCCTTACCATGGAACAAATTCATGAGTCAATCTGTTTGCTAGTCAGTGAACACTTCTGAATGTCAAAGCAGATAATAGTGTAATTTTCTGGTGTTCACAATGCCTAAGGGAAGAAAGGTATCATGAATCATGTTGCTGAATCTCTCGCCTCCTTCAAGGAAGAGGATGATAAAGAAGGTCTGGAGGAAAGGAAGATAAACAGATGTGGGGAAAGCACTTGTGACTTGACTTACCTAAAAGTACTTTAAAATGATTGGCGGAACATAACACGAGCTGAAGAGGTGGGGAAATAGAAGGTCATTGTTTTGCTGTAGATTTTTTTTTATTTTTTTTTAACGGGTTTAATTTTATGAAGGTATAATGGGAGCAATACAAAAAAAGATGGTCATTTATCACTTTCCTTCTTTCGAGTGTAACGTTTCCTGGCTTAGGGCAGTACTGGTCTTAATCGCAAAGAAAGCGGGTACTTTCGAGAGACGGGGGAGATTTGAGTCTTAACTGCAATATATAGAGGGTTTTCTACACGTGGGTGCAACATGTTTCTGGAAGAAATAGACCAGGGTAAGGGCTTGTTATAACATAGTATGGGAAACTTATTCTGTAGGTGTGAATTTTCTGTACTGCATGCTGTTGAGTCACAAGCCTAATATGCTGTCACCTGTTTTATGCATTTCTTCAAAGTGGAAGTTATTTTGAGTTTATGAACTTAAACAAAAACAGCTGGGCACAGAATACAAGTGTAATTGCTGAAGTAGTCCTATCAAATATCCATCCAGGGAGTGAATGCGCTACAAAAGGCTTTTGTGAACTTAGAATAATCATGCTCCATAAAAGATTTCAAAGTAGCGTGTTAGAAACCAAGCTGACACTTTTAAAGTATTAATTGCTTTTAATACTGTTTTTTTTAAAATGTTGAACATCCTTAAGTATGTTTAGACTTAGTAGAATTGCATTTTTTTATTTTGTAATATTTTCAACAAAGAATATTGATATTTATTTTTAAACACTTATTTGCATTTTTATCAATTTCTAAATTTTCAGTATTGAGTACAGTTAGAGGTGTGGGGGGCAGACAATTATTAATGACAGTATACTTTTATTATAATGTAGGTTAACTGCCCACTGTGACAAATGCAGCTATCATAGGCCTGCTGCCAGCTGAGCAGCAGAGCTGCCATCAGTCTGCTTTGTCACTTTTCTTCCTTTGTTCCCAGTTCCCCGGGGGCTTCTGGGAGTTCTCACTACAATCAGCACAGTTCTGTAGGACTGCTCTCCCTGTCCTCTCACGTTTCACCAGCCATCGTTTTTTCTTGCATCCTCTTTCTGTAAACTTTATTTATTAATGATGGAAATATGTTTTTCATTGGTCTGTGAGGTGGAACTGATGTTTATCAACAGTTCCCAGTAAAAAATCGTAGAATCATAGGAGTGGGGTTGGAAGGGACCTTGTAGATCTTCAAGTCTGACCCCTGCCTGG